GTGTTAGCTGCCAATCAATACGGAGATTTGGGGAATCCTCCGTTGGTATATGCTGTTGAGAGAGGGAGTCTTGACATTGTTAACGTGCTTCTGAAGTACAAAGCGGATATTGAAGTTGGAGGAAAATGCCAGAGACTCACAAGAGACTTGTCTGGTATCTACGACAATAACATTTATCTTGATGGTTCTAACTGGTTTACCTACACATGTTGCACTCCATTGTTTTTAGCGGCTGCATACGGTCACCTTGATATTTTGAGGTACTTGGTCGAAAATGGAGCTGATATTAATGTATGCTCAGATGATCACTGCACCCCTCTTATGATAGCAATTAAAATGGGGCACATTAATGTCGCAACCTATCTTGTTGAACATGGAGCTAAGGTGGATCTTAAAGATGATCGTGGTTGTACAGCTCTTCACCACGCCATGTATTACTATCATCATGACCGACTTGAAGTTTGTAGTTGCTTGATTGAACGTGGAGCTGATGTAAATGGTTGTTACAATAACAAGAGCCCCCAAAACGGCCGTACCCCTCTGATGATAGCAAGTAGATATGGTCAATTGGACGCAATGTCCTTTCTCATTAAACAAGGAGCTAATGTGAATCTTCAAGACAAAGAAGGTGAAACAGCTCTTCACTATGCCATAGATCGCTCTGATGTATCATGTGAGGTTTTGAGTTGTTTGATTGAAAATGGGGCCAATTTTGATGCTTTTTCAAATAGTGGCTGTACTCCTCTGATGAAGGCAATTCATAGTCAACTCATACAGGTAGTTACCTATCTCATTGAGCATGGAGCTAACATTGATCTCCAAGACAAAAATGGTAATACAGCTCTTCACCATGCTGTCGGTGTTACGAATTTTTGTGATATAATTGACCATCTTGTGACCGGCGGAGCCTCTCACATTTGTAACAACCAGGGATTGACACCTCTTCTTCTAGTCAGCGACAGAGGAAACGTCGCAGTAGTGGCGCATTTAAACAAAAGACCAGAGATAACAAAAGAACAAAGAATCAATGCCCTAGAGCTTCTAGGTGCCTCTTTGGTTATTCTGCATGCTGCAGGTTTTGAAAGAAGCTTTGAGAAAGGATTGAAGTACATCAAGCGTGGCATGGAAGAAAGGTTTTCTAATCTCACCGAACCTTTGTTGAAACAATCAACAGAACAGGCTGTCAAAGCTTATCAGAACAGAAAAGAGTGTCAAAGTCTTGAGGAATTTGCTCAGATGGAAGGTGATTTGGATACTATGGTCATAGAAAGTATTGTTATCAGAGAAAGAATTATTGGAAATGAAAGTGAGTCATTACGCTATGTTACTGCTGCTGCTGGATGTTATTTCCATGCGAACAGAAATTTCTCGACATGCCTAGCATTGTACAGACATGCTGTGAAAATAGCACAGAGCTCCAAGCAATCTGCTGATTTTCAGTTAGACAACATGAGTAGACTATTACATGAAGAGTTTAAGAGAAGTGGTCTACCAAAAGTAAAGAATCATCTCATTGAATTGTTTGAGTTAATACTTCTCGAGTATGAAACACAGCATAAGGTGAAGAAGCCAAATTCACTGTCAAGGCTTTTTGATATATCAGCGAAAGTGGTGTTGTTTATTTCCAAAGTTGAATTTCATGGGGAGAGCAAGAGNATCTCATTGAATTGTTTGAGTTAATACTTCTCGAGTATGAAACACAGCATAAGGTGAAGAAGCCAAATTCACTGTCAAGGCTTTTTGATATATCAGCGAAAGTGGTGTTGTTTATTTCCAAAGTTGAATTTCATGGGGAGAGCAAGAGGTCTAATCTGTCAACAATGCTAAAACAACTTTTTAGGAAAGATCCTCAAGATAGATCAGGAAATACGCTCTTACATAAGATCATTGAATGCCACATGGATAATGAAGTATATTCCTGTTTGGATTCAGTGAAACTTCTGCTCGGTGCAGGCTTCAATGTAAATGCCAAGAACAAAAAAGGAAACACTCCCCTTCACATAGCTGCCAAGTTTAAACCCAGAAGTGGTAAAATTTGTCTTGTGGCTGAAATCCTGCAAGTTTTAATTGATGGAGGTGCTCATCATGATTTTGTCAACAATGACAGTAAAACACCCATGGACATGGCTAAAACTGATGAAGCTTGCATGATTCTTTCAGAGAGTAGAAACCTAGAATTACGATGTATCAGTGCCAGAGCAGTGAGAAAGTTTGGAACTCCTTATTTGGGGGTGGTACCCAAAACACTGGAGAAATACATTAACATGCATTCCAGTTGAGTCCTTTCAACAGAATAACTGTTGCTCTAGAACTGTATAGAACCAAACCTATCCAAAAGTTTCTAAAAAGTCAAGCACTACTCTGTGCATGCTAATTTACAGCTTTTAAACCCATCAACAATAGATGGGTGTGGGGAAGGTACCTGAGGAAGCGGTAGAGGGCTGCAAGCGATCTTAGAGGGTAACCATGACAACCCTGAGAGCGGCACCCACCAGGCACCGTCACACTGAGAACCTCAGTGGAGAGAGGTGCAGATACTTACCAAAACAGTCCAAAGAGGAGGGAGGGTTGGGGGCAAAAAACAGCTATAACTACTGCATGCAAAAGCAACGAGAGCAAAATGATTGACTCCTGCGAAAGCACTATAAAATCACTAAGGCCCTGCTAAACCCCGAGACCGCCCCAAATACGATTAGCGAAGGAGACCGCTGGCCAGCACTGTCTCGCGTTTAAAGTTTTGCGCGTGCCCACTTAATAAAAGACAAAGTTTCGGTATTTTCTGTCCTCACTGCAGCTTTTGCTCTTCTTTTCTTATGTTGTTGTTCTTTATTTTCCTTTTCATTTATTTAGACTTCATATTGGGTTGAAAATTTTTGCAAAAAAAAGGATACAGATGGGTAGTGCAATAAAAATGTTTTTGGACCAATTTCAGTGCTTGTTTCTCAGGCATCATTTCTTGGGGAAACCAGTAGTGTTGTTGTGAAATGTCGGCTTTTTTCACAGGCTACCTCACATAATTTTTTATGTGTTTTTCTGTCCTATATTTAATGTTGCCTGCTTGGATATGGTTCCAAACAGGCAAACATCTCTTTCTCTCCGCAGATAATCTGTGAAAAGCATAGCTGTGTATAAAAAGTGGTGACATAATTATTCCGATGTTAATGCTACAGAGGTAATAGTAAGGTGTTATAAGCAAAAATTGTAGGTAGGAATGTGTAGAATTGCTTAATAACTGAAATGAAACACAAACTAGTTAAAAACATCAGCAGCTCATTACATAAGTAGGTTGAGTTTGATCATGTGGGTGAACATAATCCTGAATAGGACTGTTGATAAGTTGTTGACAGTGACTGACACTTTGACTCTGAAGATGACCAGCGCACAAGTTGTCGAGACGTCAGTCATAACAGTCCTTTTTAGGACTATGTTCACCCGGATGATCATACTCAACCTACTTATGAAATGACTGACTCCTGGGTTCAAACCTTTCACAGTTTTAGAAGCTTTTTAGTTTAATATCTTTAAAATAGGAGGAAATAGGCCCTTTGCCAATATCTTGTGTAGCCGGGGCCTTTTTTAGAGCGAAGGGAGAAATCTTGAGGATGTGTGCGCATAACAGGAGGAAAGATGAGGTAAAAAAAAGCCGGGGGGTACTGCTAGAAATTCTTGGTGGGAGTATGCCACCTGGTTCTCCAAATCCTGACCCTATTTCAGACCAAAACATGTCATTTTACACACCCGTTTTCGGACCAGGCCTCTAAAATCCATACCTGTCTCTAAGAAATTATTTCATCATTACAGAAATTAGAACACCAAATGAAAGATGTCTTAAAATCCACTTTGAAATCGTATGTTGCTCTTTCTTTCTCAGTATTCATTTGGAACTGAAACAACAAATATACATACACATCCACCCCCGTAGTTTCCTCAAAATCCATACCCAATTCCAGACCAAAATGGGCAAAATGTATACCAGTTTTAGACCAAAAAGGCCCAAAAACCATACCCTTTGGGGCAGCTCATACCTACAGTCAAACCTCTCTAATACCGACACCGAAGGGACAGAGCGAAGTGTCCGTATTAGAGAGGTCACCATGATGATGTCATTTTTAAGACCCCACTGATGGTCTTTGATGTTATTCATTGAATGGACAATGGAACAGTTTGAATTATGCCTTTCGGTTCTAATTATCATTTGTTACAGTTGTATAGAACAGCACTGCATAGAGAATATGTATTGAATTGGCTATTGCCATAATATTTTCGATTACTGCATTTGCAATTATAAATGTGAGTTTTGAGATGTTCTGGTATTGGTATCGCTGACTGATTTAAGTGTCAATGTTTGTGTAACCGCCGACGGGAAATGGTACATGCAGCAAATTATTGACACCTGGTCCCCAGAGTGTCCATAATAAAGAGGTTAAGTTTGTATGAATTTGCTCCCAAGGGCCGAGATTTGTGTCCTTTGTCCGTATAATTTAGAGAGGGTCCGTATTATAGAGGGTTTTTTGGAGGGAGATGTATGAGAATTTTGTCGGTGCAGAGGAAACTGTCTGTATTGGAGAGCCGTCCATACCAAGAGGTTCGAGTGTATACAGCTTATATAAGAGAGTATACCCCCCGCTGGAAAAAATTAACCGGTGCCCTCTATGCAGAAGAGCAAGAGATTTACTGCGAAAGGAAAAAAAAAGAGCCCACATCATTTGAAACGGTAATTTCATTTCTTTGTCTTCTCTACTGGTAAAGGAGCCTGGGATTCTGCAGAATTCTGGGATAACATTCCAGGGTTTCCAGCCGTTTTTTTTGCACATGCAGAAAATCCAGGAAAAATCCCAGGAAAGACAGGAGTGTCTAGGCTCTCTTGGTTTTGCAGGAACCTAGAAAAGCCTAAAAATGCCAAGCGAAAATTTTCCACGCTTTCAGTCTGGAAAAGGCAAGAGAACATATTCCATGCTTTCAAGGCATATATAGGCATATGTGCAAAAAAGCGTGGAGTTGCTCCCAGGGCATTTCTTGCTCTCCATCATAGTGTTTTTGTACTACGTGAATGACTAGCTGAAAAGTAAAAGTATAAGTTAACTTTGATTTCATAACAATTAATGTTTTTATTGCAGAGATTTATATTAATCATTTCAATGAACATATTATTTCCTGCTGCAATAAAAGTATTAATAATACATGATTTTGTTTTGTAATTAGAACAGGCATCTACTAAAACCCAGGGCCGGGTTGTTCAAAGCTGGGTTAAGATAACCCAGGGTTAGTGCGAAATTTGAATTCAGATATGAAAGCTTAAAAAGAACATTCAGT